AAAAATCAAGAGCTTTTAAGGGACCATTTTCAATGTTATTAAAGGGTTAGTTGCAATAGCTGACTACGGTAATAACTTTAAAATCCAAATAGTATGCAGCACACAACTATCCTCAACATTACAAATTAATCTTCCTATTCCTAATCTGTTCAATGCTGGGAGCAACCACAAATAGTTTTCAGTGCACACTCAGCATAAAATCCTAAAGAGGCAAAGTCATAAAATCATTGCTCCTATATTTATAAGCTTTTTGAATAGTTCCTCTAAATTTTTTTTAGATATGCAAAGGTCAACGTGCTCCGAAAAAACCCCAAGATCAGATAAATACTGGATACATCAAGCCCGTGAGATACAATTTATATTCTAAGTGGCCTGATGTGTTGACTCATAAAGCACCAAAAATCACAAATGAGTTATCGTGACCACCATGAAAGGGATATAAATTCCATTATGACCCGTTTACAACACATCTGATTTTAAGCTAAATTAGATGAAGTGGAAAATACAAATTGGGTTTAATGGTGAATGATATTCTTCTATGCACTATGAATTCAGATTTTTTTGTATGTTATTGATTTATGTTAATACATGCTCTTCAAATAAAATTTGAAAAATACATTTGTAATAACTAAAGGGATCTTACATAAGCAACTTCAGGATACGGAATCACTAATAGATTGGGCACGGAGATTGCAGATAAAATTTAATGCAGAAAAAGGTTAAATATTTTAGAAGGAAGAATAATGAGGCTGAGTATGTGCTGAATAGAATTGAGGAGCAGAGACCTAGGAGTTAAAGATGGGAAAACAAGTTGGACAAAGCTGTGAAGAAACCCAAAGGAATCCTGGGTTTTATAAGTACAAACATAAAATATAAAACGAACGGGTGAAGCTTGTATAACATAGTTAGACCGTAGTTACAGTATTATATCCAGTTTTGGCATCTGACTTTAGGATGTCAGGACCATAAAAGAAATACGGGGAAAAAGAAAAATTATTTTGTGTTACCATATTTTTGTTTGCCTAGAAATACTGCATAAACGTAACTTAGTTACCAACAAATCATATCTGTCATTTTTAATAATTTTGATGATGCTTAATATTTTCACCATACCTAACCGTGACATTTCCATGCCTTAATTTGTTTCATCTTTAAAAATATTTGTATTCAACAATTAGAGGCAAAATTCCAACTAGGCCTAGATTTACTCCATTAACATTGCATTTTAAAACTTGCAAAATTAAAATACGGCCTTAATTCTTTTGGTTTTCTTTTAAGAGCTACCAAAAAGGAAATCTTCCTGAGCAAACAGAGGGCATGGCTGACATACTGAATGAGCACTTTGCATCTGTCTTCACAAAAGAAGAGGATGCAGCCAATGCCACAGTATTGGAGGAGAGGATAGAGAAAATAATTGGATAAGATACGAATAAACCGAGAGGAGGTACTAAAAAGGTTGTTGGGCTCAAGTTGGATGAGTCACCCGGTCCGGACAGGATTTATCCTATTAGTGAGGGAAGTAAGTGTGGAAATAACAGAGGCTCTGGCCACAATCTTTCAATCCTCCTTGGACACCGGGGTAGTGCCAGACTGGAAGATTGCAAATGTTACTCCCCTGTACAAAAAGGGACAGAAGGATAAACTCAGGAACGACAGGCCAGTCAGCCTATCGGTAGTCAGGAAACTTCTAGAGACTCCAACAACGACAACAAGATTACATTTGTATCGTGCCTTTCATGTTGGGAGGACGTCCCAAGGTGCTGGACAGTGTACAGCATTTCAGACCCAAGCTGGAGTCAGGGGGAAGAGGGGAGGGGAAGGGGGGTGGCCGATGGCATGGTCGAAGAGGAGGGTCTTGAGGTGGGACTTGAAGGAGGCTAAGGAAGGGGTGAGGCGGGGTGATTGGGGGATGGAGTTCCAGAGGTTGGGGGCAGAGTGGCTGAAGGCTCTCCTGCCAATGGTGGGGCGGGTGGGTCGGGGGACGTGGAGCAGGCCAGAGCCGGCTGAGCAGAGGAAGCGGACAGGTTGGTAGGGGGTTAGGGGGTCACAAAGGTAGGGTGGGGTGAGGCCACGGAGGGCTTTGTAGGTGAGGACCAGGATTTTGAAGGATAGGGAGCCAATGGAGTCGGGAAAGAATGGGGGAAATTGGGTCACGGAGTTTGGTGCGGAAGAGGACACGGGCTGCACAGTTCTGGATTATCTGCAGCCTGTGGAGGGAGGAGTTGGGAAGGCTGACAAGAAGGGAGTTTGCAGTCGAGCCTGGAGGTGATGAAGGCATGAACAAGAGTTTCAGCGGCCTGAGAGGTGAGGCAATGGCGGAGTCGGGCGATGTTGCGGAGGTGAGGGAAGGCAGAGTGGGTCATGGCTTGAATGTGGGGAAGAAAAGACAGTTGAGGATCGAACAAGACACCAGGTCCCTGACTGGCTGGTGAGTTGAAGTGTGCAACCATGGAGGTTGATGTTGCCAGAGTCTGAGGTGCTGAGGCGCTGGCGTGAGCCGATCAGGAGGGCCTCAGTCTTGTTCACATTCAACTGTAGGAAATTTTCCCTCATCCAGGACTTGATGTCCGACAGACATTCTGTCAGGACAGCAGTGGTCCTGGAGTTGAGGGTGGAGGCAGAAAGATAGAGTTGGGTGTCATCTGCATACATATGGAAGTTGACCCCATGTTTGCGGATGATGTCACCAAGGGGGAGCATGTAGATATTAAAGAGGAGAGGGCCAAGGACAGAGCCCTGGGGGATGCCAGACGTGACAGTGCGGGGGCTGTAGGAGAAACCATTAGAGGCAACAAAGTGGAGATGGTGAGAGAGATAGGAATCGAAACAGGCAAGGGCAGGTCCGTGAAGATTAAGTAAGGAGGAGAGGTGGTATATGAGGATGGAGTGGTCAACAGTGTCAAAGGTGACAGAGAGGTCGAGGAGGACAAGGAGGCAGATGGAGCCCTGATCACAGATGTTCAGAATGTTATTAGTCACTTTGACCAGCGCTGTTTCCGTGCTGTGGGCAGTGCAGAAGCTGGATTGGAGGGGTTCAAAGAGGGAATGGCGAGAAAGGAGCGGAGCTGGGAAGCGATGACTCGATCCAGAACCTTGGAGAGGAATGGGAGATTAGAGATCGGGCAGTAGCTGGAAAGTAGGGATGGGTCCGGGAAGGTTTTTTCAGGATGGGGTGATGACAGCTGTTTTTAGGGCTATAATCCAGGACAAAATAAATTTTCACTTAGAAAAATATGGGTTAATAAAGGACAACCAACATGGATTTGTTAAAGGCAAATCATGTCAAACAAACCTAATAAGAGTTTTTTGATGAAGTAACAGAGAGGGTGGATGAAGGTAGTGAAGTTGATGTAGTTTATATAGATTTTCAAAAGGCGTTTGATAAAGTGCCACATATGACTTGTAAGCAAAATAGAAGTCCACTGTATTAAAGCGACAGTGGCAGTATGGATACAGAACTGTCTGGAAGACCGAAAGCAGGGAGTGGTGGTGAATGGTTGTTTTTCTGACTGGAGGGAAGTGTGCAGTGGTATCCCTCAGTGTCGGTATTGGCACCACTGCTGTTTTTGATCCGTATAAATGACCTGGACTTGAGTATAGGGAGTACACTTTTCCTGTAGATGCAGATGATACTAAGCTAGTAAGTTCATTACTAAAGTAATTAACAGCGAGGAGGATAGTAGCAAACTGCAAGAGGACATACAGAGTGTTAAAATGGGCGGACAGGTGGCTGATGAAGTTCTCTTTGACCGTGCCTTCAGCTCCCCTCTCGACTCTCTATCCCCTCCTTGTTCCCTCCCTTCACCCTGACCATTTTCCCCCCAAGGCTCGAGTCCTAACCCAACTGTCCAGTGCCTTGGGACGTCCTCCCGACGTGAAAGGCGCTCTATAAATGTAATCTTGTTGTTGTTGTTAATGTGGAGAAATATGATGTGATGCATTTTGGGAGGAAGAATGAGGAGAGGCAATATAAGCTGATGGTACAATCTTAAAGGGGGTGAAGGAACAGAGAGACCTGGGGGTTCATATAAGTAAATCTTTGAAGGTGGCAGGACAGGCAGATAAAGCTGTTAAAAAAGCATATGGGATACAAGGCTTTATAAATAGGGGCATAGAATACAAAGGTCAGGAAGTTACGATGAAGCTTTATTAAACACCGGTTAGACTCAGTTCAAGACTGTGTTCAGTTCTGGGCCCCACACTTTAGGAAGGATGTCAAGGCATTGGAGAGGGTGCAAAGGAGATTTGCCAGGATGGTACCAGGAATAAAGGACTTCAGTTATCAGGAGAGGCTAGAGAAGCTGGGATTATTCTCCTTGGAGAAGAGGAGGTTAAGAGGAGACTTAATAGAAGTTTTCAAAATTATGAGTGATAGGGTGAACAAGGAGAAACTATTTTCACTGGCGGTTGGGTCGGTAACCAGAGGACACCAATTTAAAATAGCTGTTAAAAGAAACAGAGGGGAGGTGAGGAGAAATTTTTTCACGCAGCGAGTTGTTCGGATCTGGAATGCATTACCTGACAAGGTGATGGAAGTCGATTCGGTAACAACTTTTAAGAGAGTAATTATTTGGGGGAGGACAAGTTTGCAGGGCTATGGGGAGAGTGGGGTAGTGGGATTGATTTGGATAGCACTTTTTAAAGAGCCGGCACAGACATGATGGGCCGAATTGCCTCCTTCCGTGCTGTATAATTCTGTATGATTCTATGATACTTATCCAGCTTCAATGCTAAGGAAGATGCTTGCACAGATATTCCCATGTGAAAGATTTCCTATGTGAAAATTTGAAGGCTTCACACAATTTAGTTTCTTGTGTTGCATTTTGGGTCAAAATATGGACGTAAAGCTACTGGAGTGATAAACCTCACACCTTAACCTTGAACTTCCTTTGTGGAAAAATTGGAGGCGCTGAAAAATACACGTATTTTTATTTGATGAATAATTTCCAAGCAGTTTTTGCTTTTTATCAATACTATATTAAATAGCAATTTAATAAGTATCAGTAATTAATTCGTCTTTTAATGTGTTCTTAATTTTTTAAGTACAAATTGCAGAGAATATTTTTTGAATGCCATGTTAAAGTCCAACACTTATTTGATATAGCACCTTTCATGTCAGGAAGACGTCTCAAAGTGCTTTTCAGGAGTTTTTGTAAAACGCAGTCATGCATCGAATGATTTATTTGGAGGATTTTTGGCCAAGGCACTGGTAGAAATTCCTTTCTCTTCGAATAATGCCACAAATCTTTAACCTGAAAAGGCATTCTGGACCTTCATTTAATGCCTCATCCGAAGGACAGCAACTCTAACAATGCAGTGCACTCCCAGCATTTCATTGGAGTGTCAGCCTAGACTATACCAGTTCAAAGTCCCAATATGGGTCTTGAACCCACAGCCTTCTGAATTAGCGGAGAGACAACTACCAACTGAGCCTGACTGACACACATTCTACTTTTGGAATGCAAAAAATGTTAGCAAGGCTTAAAGCAGTTTAAACATGTAATAGTAACCATTAATTTTGCACACATTAGTTAAAAATAAATAGGTGTATATCGCATAGAAAAACTACACCTAACCAATCAGATCAAAGGGATCCACCAAAGGAATCCATACTTCAGTGTTGGTCCACCTCGGTTCTGTGTAAATTTTACCAATTCTGTACATTTTAAAGCCCATTTCCAATTGTGATAAAATTATAAATACTTCACTACAGATAACTTTCACAATCCCCTACTATAAAGCATGGGGCTGAGTTACTTTCAACTTTATACAGTGGAAGCTGCTTAAGCTGGGCGCCGGTTAACCTCAGACGTCGTACAAATTCGACAAAATGCCCGGACCTGATTCATTTGTACTCTTACCCGTTTTAAATATGCTGGTTAATTCGGCATAAACAATCCAGTTATTCCGGTCAAAATGCTGCGCTGATCACTACTGAATGTACTCATTCGGGCCTTCGGTGTCACGAGTGGCTCCAGGAGGGAGATGGGAGGAATCAAATTGCAATTGATTGACAGTGGACTCCAGCTATTCATGAGCAGCTAGAGTTGGGCTGTCAATCAGGGAGGGGGCAGAGGAACTGGGGAAAAAGAGAGAATGTGAGGAGTCAAATCGTGGTTGACTGACCGTTGGAGCCGCTTGTGAATGGCTGGAGCCCATCCATTCACATGTGGCTCCATGGCTGTCAATCACATCGGAGCCACTGCTAATTGATCCAATTAATTTTCTATCCAGTGGAAATGGTGATGGGAGGGAGGAGGTGCTGCTGCTCCTCTACTGGGCAGGAAGAGTTAATGGAAGTTTGGTTTCTCTCAGATGTAACTTAAGCCGGACAAAATAGTCGGCCCCGATGTGTCCGGCTTCCACTGTAGTAATAAATGACACTCGGTAATCAAACAGGGTCAAATGTTACCTTACAAAGTAAAAACAAAAGCAATAATTGGTGAAGTAACCAATACAGTGTTAGGGATCAAGCTTAACTAATGCTTTTCACTTCCATTTTGATTAAATAGTTAGAAATAAAGCAAACTGAAAGATTACAAAGTGCAGTTTTTGTGCCATGCAATTGGAAACTAATATTCAGTAATGATTTAAATAGCTACAAATTGTTCCAAGTTCTCAGCTTCAGACAGTATATTTAGAACCAAAATATTTTATATACTGTAAATCACTATCATACTTTTAGTGTCAATGTAAATGTTATGGGGTACAACAAATACACCAGTTTTTATGAAAAGGCTATTTTTATAGTGAAGATGACTGGCATTTCAATCCCCAAAATACTTGTAGTGACTTTTCTATAATTTTGTGGCAATCCTGTGAAGAATCAGGCTGCTGTCTATTCAACTAAGGCCATCTGAAATTCAAATTCTAGTGTTTGGAATACAAAAATGGTCCCCATATTCCCCAGAGTTCATTTGTCTGCTTTGCTGTTGGTAATCTGGATGTGTGAGACCTGAAGAATTGGAAGCAGTAGCTGAAATCCACCCTCGATGTATGTGCTACTGTTAGCACCCTGTAAAATAGATCCACAAAGTAAATTAGTTACAGTTCTTCACAATATACTACATAAAGCAATGCAGTGCCATTTGGACGTGCTGCTTTACAACATGAATTTTGGTGGTTATAAAGCGGGTGCAGTGAGGACCTCATTCACTCTTCCTCCCATATGCTGTAGAAGTCCTGTAGCTCAGTGGTTAGAGCACTCGCCTTGCAAGCGAGAGACCTGAGTTCAATTCCCGGCAGGTCAGGGTGAAACCTTGGCCAAGTTTCCTTATTCCACACGCCTAATAATAATCACTCCAAAACCAAAAACAATAATAAATTGGTCATTTTCAATCCACGACTGTTTGTGGGACACTGCTGTGCGCAACTGGCTGCCGTGTTTCGCCCACAAATATATGGTCAATTCACTTTACAGCCTATTCTGTGAAGGCTTTGAGACGTCGAGAAGACATGAAAAGCGCTATAGCAACTGCAAGGATTATTATTGTTATATATATTATTAAATGATGTTAGTGGAAATCTAATAACCTGGAAGTCAGCCATTTTAGATACTCGTCACTGCCAATGTCACTTCCGGTTTTGCATTTACCCAGCAGATGCAGTGGCACAGTGCTATGCACAATTTGGCTGCCACCAAATTTGTTTGCAAATATGCAGTCACTCCACTTTACAGTAAAATTCTTTGAAGCACTTTGTGACATTTCAAAGACATGGTAAGGTGCTATATCAAACACAAGGATTATTATTATTATCCTCCTTCTCCAGTGCAAAGTACTATTGGAGCTGAGATTGTGCAAGTCAACGCTTCTGGTTACAGGATGAGATCCCCATTTGGATTCCTTAAAATTATGATAAAATTATGGTTGAACAGTGATTTTTTAGTTGGTGATCAGATAAAAGCTGTTCTACTCTATTATCCTGCACGGTTTAAACAGATTTAAGAACTATCCCAAACAGTTCTGTACAGGGCTTATATTAAAACAGTCAGTTGATCTCACCTGGAGTGTGATGGTATTAATCTGTGGCATTAAAACTTCTGCTTTCTGTTTCGCCTGCCAAAGAAAGATGAACACAAAACTTACAATTGTAATGAAAGTTTTTAAAAAATGGAACATTAAATTTGTCATGTTAAAATTCTTTGTTATGATTTAATTGTAAAAAGAACACAATTCTACTATTATTTACCACGACTAGAATGTCCTTAAAAGTAGATGTACCCCAGATAGGTTAAAATAACAACCACAAAATTACATTTGTATGGAGCCTTTCACGTCAGGAGGACGTCCCAACACACGCAAGCCTTTTTAAAGTAAGATTCATTGTCTCTTTCCCTACTTCACAACCTTTATGTCTTAAGTATTTGTGAGACATATAGTACACTCAATGATAGCAGGTTGATTTTCCAAATTAAATGAACTTCTTCAGAATGCATAGTGACCACCCCCATACGTTATGCCACCCATATGGCCTAGAAGCCAAGTATTCTTTGCTATCCACCCACCCCCCCCACCCCACACACACACACACACACACAGAGGTGCTCAAACACACTGCAAACATCCTTCCTTCAATATGTACACAAGAGGAATTATATTAACATACCCCTACGGCAGTCAAACAGGAAACAAATTTCTTTGAGAGTGAGGTCACTTCCTTACACATGGCAACAGTTAACCTAGAATTAAAATGATCAGAAAATGGGTTTTGTTCAGAAAACTTGTAATGATAATGAAATTATAAACAAATGCTTTGCTGGAAAGTGATACAAATGTTAACATGCAATCCAGATTACCTAACTCGCAGAAGTAACATACCAATGGAAATTAGTGAGGTGATGTAGAGATTTACTACAAGCTAATCACTAAAACAATAAAAGGAAGTCACATTAGGATATGAAGTCATGTGAACAATAATATTCATTTTCAAAGAGGATATGTAAAGGATAACAAGATAAATATCTAATGCAAGACCCCATAAATATAAGGATAAATGTCACAAGCATTTGGATAGGTTTTCCTGAGGATAGGATTTTATGTCCAACTATAATAGCAGAAAAAACAAAATAAAAAATTATGGCATGATATATTTTTTCCAGTACATATATGCGATATTATCACTTGGAAGGACTTCACTCATCAGTTTGAATGAAGTGCAATTCAAGACATGTTTTGTAATCACAAGCCCAATACAAGTTGAGAAAAAAAATTGCTTTCTCCCAACAAGTGGCCTGAACAGTATGGACTTGTTTTACTGTGAATAGTGAACATATTTTTGTTTATTGACACACTTAGGATAGCTCTGAGCAGCCACTTGGAAGAATTGGAGCAGAGGCTTGGAAACAGGTTGTATGGCAACCAATGGACTAAAACAGGGAACATTTTGAAATGGGGCAAATCTATTTAAAAATGTGAAATTTTGTGATGAATCTTTTATTCTCTCCCCCACCCCACTCCTTTGCCATTAAAAACACAACATTCTGCCTTTGCTAGAAAATTATAAATTAAAACAGCTCCATCTGGGGGCAGTGATTAGTGGAGCTCTGCATGAGCATGTTCTGAGTTTCCTACAGAAGGAGACAAAGGATAGTGTTTCTTACATTATACCATTTGCATGGGGAATTGAATAATTTATTTTCTTCTTAAATCTTCCCCAAAAAGCTCTTGATTCCTGCCATGCTTCCTGACACAGAATTTAACACTTTTTAAAAAGTTAAATCAACAAAAATAATCTTTATTTCTTACTTGGCAAGGATTTTAGCCTGGTCCAGTGCTGGCTTCTCCACTTCCTGCCCATGAAGAATCAACTCAGCCAATTTATGAAGCTGTTCAATACAGCGTGCCGTTACCTCAGCCAGACTCTCAATAGATGACAGAAAAACATCCTGTATTGAAAGACAGTTTACTACATGAAACCTAGGAGCTATACGTAAATGATCGAATTAGATTCACAGATTCCACCTAAAGCCCATTTTCACTCCACTCTTAACATGATACAATTGGTATTAAGCAATGAAACTAAATTTGAATGTAGTGGATTTACTGCAAGATCTAAGCAGCAAAATTCTGGTGGTGTGCAACATTACCAAACTTGCCATCTTGCGGGTTTAATGGGTTGTCTGCCAAGTTTGTGGACCAGGGGAAATGTGCGTCCTAGATGTTCATTAATATAATAATTGAAATAGCAAATAATGTTTAAATAAGTATGGCATGTAAACTAGAACAGAAAATAGTCAAGAAACATTTATGGAAGTTACACTAGTGAAGAGTGAGTAATAGGGATAGTATCCTTTTTTGAATTGGCTGCCACATTTTGCCCACAAAATATACAGTTAATTCACTTTACAGTATATCCTGTGAAGCACTTTAAGACGTCTCAAAGACGTGATAAGATGCTGTATCAAATGCAAGAATTATTATTATTATTTTTTTTCTCATATTCAATTTATTTATTTTAGTTTAAAATAATGTTTCATATCCTGGCACTACTTCACCTCCATGGCTGCTTTGCCTCTTTGAGTTTCTTTGGTTTGATTGATGTCTTCTTCCTTTTTCGACTCTGGGGCCGTAATCTCTTCAGTTTCTGCTGCCAAGAATGATTTGGTCTCTTTTACCCAATCATAGGCCTTTTTTCTTGCCTGGAAAAGTAAATGACTTTTTAATTAACACCCTGTCTGATTAAATTCTGGTTTCTCTAGACGTGTTCTCTAAACATGGGAGGGAATTTCTTGAATAAACATCTTATTGGCACATCTACTATTTGGCAATTACTGTCACTAATATATCATTCAAGAAATGACAGCTTGCAATTATATATAACTTTTTATGTACAATGAACATACATCATTCTACAATTGGTTTAAATGCAGCATATGGAATATAGCGAAATTGGTAAGCAATGTTGAAGTACTTTAAACTCCTTTTCTCAATTTGAAATCTCTCAATTTAAGTCTACAATGGAAGTTTGCCCTCATAGGGAAACATTCCTCCTGAAAGCCATTCAAGTGTTATTCTTTGCAGAAGGCAAACAGGTTGTGTGAAATCACCTTCTATGTGATGGATACATTTAGTCTTTTTTTTCAAAACTGAATAAAGCCAATGTGCCATTTCTAAACAGTTGTACAATAAAGGAAAGAGACCCATAATAGTCTCTGTAATCGTAGCTAGAGGATCAAGAATACAATTATTGTACTGGTGGGGCGATCATTCAGTTCTCCTTGGAATAGCACCCAGGGCATTAAAGGGATTATTCATTGCTATGTGAATTTTACACACTATTAAACCATTCAAATGGAAAATGGGCTTTATGGCTGTATAGATCCAAACCCAATCAGAATAGCCAGAAGCTACTGGAAATAACTCAGACCATGACATTAATTAAAAACAACGTTTGACATTTATATGAAATGTACTATAAAAAGTTTTCCAATGAAACAGTTTCAAATTGCCAACACTGTTATTCCAAATTAATACTTAAATGAATCTATTTAGAATACATATCAATGTAATCTAGTATTCAAGTCAACACTAATCTGCAGTAAATAAGATTTAATTACAAGTACAGTATTTGAATTCATGTCCTACAGTTTTAATAAGATATAGTGCACACTTCAATAATCACAGCTCAAAAAGTAAACATTGTATTTTAGGAACTAACACCAAGGATTGAATTCAAGGTCATCACATCCTTTTGAGTGTTTAGAGGGGGAAAGAAGCAACATCCAAAAGCTTCCATTAAAAAATAATTATTTGACAAACACTTAAAGCAGTTAGTGTTGCTCTTCTTCTGTATGCACTTTTACCCAGTCAGATATAAACTGATATCCACACACAAAAATCTAATTGTACCATCAATTTTATTTGAAATCCAAAACAGCTACTGCAAGGGTTAGGTTAAATGTAGCTCTATCAGAGGCCCCAAGATCAACTGTATAGAACTACTCATCCAGGAAATTCAAATTACAAAAACACCAAAGAATAAACAGTATTTTTGCATCCTACTTGTCAGATTCTGATCAAATAAGTTTAAAGTTTTGTAATGTGGAATAAATTAAACACTTTACAAAGGCATTGTCTCTGTAGAAAGTTGCAAAATGAATAGGTTTCCAAAAAAAGAAATTGCGCAATAACAACAACAACTTGCATTTATATAGCACCCTTCATGTGCGGTAGCGTCCTGGAGCTACTCAAGACAATAAAATACTGCAACAAGCATCTGCAAAATTAATTCAGAGAACCTGGGAAAAAATATCCTGTTTTACACTGTTGGAAATTGACTCCTCCTGGTTCATTACTTCCACTGCTTTCCATTGATATTTAGGATGTCAAAATTGAGACCAACTCACTGCAACGAGTGCCGCCTGCATTCTCTTTTATACCCTAGCTGCACTGACTCCCCATTTGATAGATATCAGTCCTCATTCACAACTGTGAATGCCCTTACGGCCTTGCATCTTCCCATCACTGTGATTTCCTATCCCGTTCTTCTGCTCATCCCTCTCTCCATTTGGCAAATTTGGGCCCTCTGCAGATTTCCCATCCCACTATTGGTTCAGGATTCAGCAATTACACCCAGACCTCTGGAACACACTCCTTCTACCCATCAGTCTCATCCACTCTCTGTCGGTCTTTAACTCAATTAAACACGGTCAAGCAGCTGAGAATCGAGGACTAGTCTTAGACATAGTCTTAAACTTAAGGCTAAACCATTTAAATAAGAAAGCATGTTTTCAATGCAGTGGATGGTGGACTGTGGAATTCACTCCCCCAGATGGTAGTGCAGGCAGAGTCAATTGAAGAATTTAAAAGGCAAACAGGCATATGCTTGATAGACACGTTATCAAGGAATATGGAGAGGGGGAAGGAGGTGGAATTGAGTTGCAGATTGGCCACAATCTGAACAAATGGTGGGCAGGCTCGATGGACCGACTGGCCTACTCCTGTTCCTATGTTCCTATAAGGGTTCCAAGTCCAAACGAGGAGCTCCAGGATATTTTGTGTAATACAATAAATAACTTATATAATTATGTTGTCAGTCAGAATCTGGCATGTGAGAAATCCATTTGTAGTGTTTAAGAGTTACAGCTGCTGAGAACTCACGGAAGCTGAATTTCTAGTTGCCAGTTCTGGAGTGAGCAATCCTTTAAAAAGACTTTGAACAAACAATTATGACTTGAAGACAGAAGTATCTAGAACAGAAAAAGCTAAGTACTTCACCCTAAAAAGCACCTGTTACCTTTTTGATCAACAGATTGCTGTTCATACCAAATATATACAATCATACGAAATACATTGTAACTACTTATAGCTACACCCAAATATACTTGCCTTGTTCAGCTTGTCTGGTGTCGCAGCAATATGCAATTCAAACAGGAGCTCTGTCAACATGCTCACAAACTGTTCATCATCTGCTGGAATTTCAGCCACTTGCTGTATTTCTTTTTCAATATATTCAGGGTTACAGAACAGAACATAGAGATTGTAAGTGGTTTGATCCAAAACACATGACAATGTGTCAGTATATCACCATTTCATGCAAGATGGACCATTTCATGCTTTTGAATTATTTTTTGTCTCACTGGAATAGTTGGGAATTTTTTTCATATCAAATTATATTGTATACAAGCATGTCTATCTTACGTTTGTATTCATGCAATGGACTTTGAGGGAACAGGAGTATCATTACCGTGGATAGGACAAAGCATACCCTAATGTGGGTACCACCACACCCTATCTAGTTACTGACAGAAACTTGTTCTCATTAGAAAAAAAGATGCCGAGAGCGTGTTAAAGTCTTCAAAGTGATAAGAAGCATTTGAATGGTAGAGATGTCGGTATGGAAAATATTCTGGAATTGTTTGACTATCACTGGGGATCAAGAAGTAACAATCTACAACTTTCTCCAAGGATTGTGTGAGGTTAACTCCACAACAAAATAGGTTTCACAATAGAAGCAGCAGACTTAATGGGAGTTTTTCTCGTTCCATGCTTTATGTTCTTAATTTGACCAAATGGAGAACTAATTTCACAAGAACCCGCTCCCGAAGATCTTGATCATTTTATGGCGACACACTAAAAACTGGCATGTGTTTGATCTGGTTGTTTCAATATTCTGAGGTTCATCAGGTTAAATCATAGCCTCTTGAACCGTCTCAGTCAATCACAGATCTAATTTTACCAACGTGGATCCCACAACTGGAAAAGCTTAAGTCTCAGGAATGCATAGGAAAAAGATTAATAATTAATTAAAAATAATTCTTAAACATAAAGTAATGTAAGAAACCAAGACTGGAGAAGGTAGAATGAATGGAAAAATAAGAGACAACGGCAAAAAAAAGTTTTTAAAAAATGGGTTTAATACTTTAACATGTTTAGTTTAGAATATTGTAGCAATGGAAAGAATACAATATAGATTTATTAGGCTGAGTGGATATAGCCATCGAGAAAAAAAGGACAGATTTGAGCTTTTCTCTCTCTCAAGATGATCGAGATCGGACCTGACTGAGGTGTTTAAATTATGAAAGGATTCAATAAGGTGGACATAAATAGGTTATTTACACTTATCCAAAGCAAGGGCGAATAAACAGAAGAAAGCCACTAGAAGAGCTGAAAGGGAGTTTTGTATTTTTGTTTGGGGGGGAAGTTTTGACTGCTTGTGGGACACTGCCGTGTGCAATTGGCTGCCACGTTTCACTCACAAAATATAGTCAATTCACTTTACAAAAGCGCCTTGAGACATCTCGAAGATGTGATAAGGCGCTATATCAAATGCAAGTATTATTATTACTTACGACATCGGAGAACCATGAGTGTAATATTTGGGGATTTTTCAGTGACCTGAAATAAACCTGCCTGGCCCAGGGAGCTGAGAATTTCCTGTTGATACCAGCAGATTAAAGTGTCTTATCTTACCATTTTCCTCCTCTTGTTCTTCATCAGGATTTAATTCATTTTGTATGAAGACATCACGAATGCTGATCAAGTTCTGTTTCAGGATCTCTAATTCTTCTCCAGAGAGGGACATCAAAACTGACTGAACCTAGAAAAACATGCACCAGTGATACAGGGTAACATAGCCATGCACTGTATAATAATAATAATCCTTGCATTTGATATAGCGCTTTTCACGTCGGGAGGACGTCCCAAAGCGCTTCACAGTACACACTGTAAAGTGAATTGACTGTATATTTGTGGGCGAACGCGGCAGCCAATTGCGCACAGCAATGTCCCACAAACAGTCGTAGATTGAAAATGACCAATTTAATTATTGTTTTGGGTTTTTTGGAGGGATTATTATTAGGCTCTGTGTGGAGTAAGGAAACTTGCCCAAGGTTTCGCCCTGCCTGGAATTGAACTCAGGTCTCTCACTTGCAAAGCGAGTGCTCTAACCACTGAGCTACAGGACTCCACAATACTATACATGCAGGATTATGTTATGCATTTGGGACACCATATTATACATCCTGACAGTGACAGTTAAATATAACCAGCCATAGTACTGTGACATATGTTGAGGCACTACAAGTATGGACACTTTATCTGTTGCACGATCTTTCCTCGCATTTGGTATAGCGCCTTTCATATCAGGAGGACATCCCAAAGTGCTTCATTGGATTATCCGTAACTGTGTACGTGTAGGCAAACAGGGAAACCCAATTGTGCACAGCAATGTCCCACAAACAACCATGAACTAAAGGAGCAATTTTATTTGGGGGAGTGATTGGCCAGGACACCAGGAGAAACTCCCCTTCTCTTTTGAGTAGATGGAATCTTTAACGTCAACCTGAATAGGCAGACGGGACCTCGATTTAACATCTCAATCGAAGGATGGCACTTCCGACAATGCAACACCCCCCAGCACTGCATCAGAGTGTCAGCTTAGACTATGTGAATACAAGTCCCAAGGTGCAGCTTGAATCCATAACCTTTTAACTCGGAAGCAAGAGTGTTATTGAAATGCAAACCTGTATCTGACCTTGTGAGAGCACGAGGGTTAAGGAGATACTGGTGTTGGGGGTGGGGGGGAGGTGGGGAGACAATGTGTCAGGAACATAAAGGTTGGAATCCCAATGATCTGGTTACTGAGTAAAATGTTAGAGGCAGTGCTATTAGGATGCAGTCGATGTTTGGAGCAAACTGATTAAATAACAACGACATTGTTATCACAAAGAGCTGTTCCATATAACTTCTATTGCAATTTCATCTGGCAAACATATGAAAAATAACAGGGACTCTTCAGGTTAATTTCATAATGAGTTTCATCTTCATCATTCCTCCTGCCTAAAGCCACCAGCTTGTTGTCATTATAACTACGAAATTGCTGGTCCGAGAATCTCAAGAGATTTCTGCAATAAACAGGCACTATCATTTATATTATCTACCTTCCACCTACCTCCCCTCTTCAGTGGTCTCAATTTTTCTGCATAGACTGGTCTGGGTCAAATCCATCTGACAAGCTGCCCTCAGTGTGAAGCACAGGTAGAAGTGAAGAATAGGAAAGAAGAAAAAAAATCATAGCAAGAGTTGTAGCAAGATATCAATTGGAGGAAAACAAATAAATGAAAGAAACAAAAGGAAAAAGAGGAAAGAAAAATTTATGAACAAATTAAATGAAAGAAATAATTTATGAAATAAAGGATAACTATACATAATAATATCCTTGCATTTGATATAGCGCTTTATCATGTCTTCGAGACGTCTCAAAGTGCATCCCAGTATATACTGTAAAGTGAATTGACTGTATCATTTGTTGGCGAAATGCAGCAGCCAATTGCTCACAGCAATGTCCCACAAACAGTTGTGGATTTAGTGACCAAATAATTATTTTTTTTTGAAGGAATTATTACCCCTGGAGAAGCGATTAGCCAATCGACTAACAACCGGGTTCCCACTTGCTGCTAGGTAAACAGTGGCGTGTGGAGTAAGGAAACTTGCCCAACATTTCACCCTCCCGGGAATCAAACCCAGGTCTCTCGCTTGTGGGAGAGTGCTCTAACCACTGAGCTACAGGACTCCATATAGGAAATGAAGAAATAAAATCCCACAAAGCCTCCAGAGAGGTGAAGCAACAAACAGTCTACTTTGTTCTTTGCCATCTCTATAATTTATAGGTATAGGCAAGGTATAAAGAATACCCACAAAAAAGTCATGTACACTGAAGCTTATTAAGGTCATTTCACATTACTCCACTGTTCATACTGTATGTACTCTTCAATCTCTTTTGTTGTATTAAACTGTCCAGCGTTTTGAGGACTTTTGTTTACATTTCATTTTCAATTTCATTAAATGCAATTTTGAACAATTATATTTATGCATTTTAAGTACACTTTATTATTAGAATCCAACATATATATTCTCTTCAACCTTAATGGGTCAGAAAATAGCTACAGTAATAAACTTGGCTATGCTGATTATTTTAAAAAGCAGTTGGATGAACACTTGTTCTTTCAAGGACAGAGGAAAACCATACAGTCAGTTAAAGCACAGAATGTCAATTAGTAAATGAGCAAATGGGGAGGTTAGAAGTGTGTTCACACACAGAGTAGGTGGGGTATGGAATGCTCTGCTGGGAATGATTGAAACAGAATCCGTATTGGCCTTCAGGAGGGAACTAGTTAAATAACTTAAAAAGAGTCAACTACAGAGGAGGAAGGGCAGGTAAACGGGACTGAACAGATTGCTCTTGAGGGAGCTGGGAGAGCAATACGCTGAAAAATCATCTTCTGTGCCATAAATCTCTATGGTTTTTATATCATGTTCCAGCACTGACATTCTTTTTGATAAGTCCAACATTTCAAGAATAACATGGAACATTTGTTTTCTTGAACATTTTACTATTCTCTCATAATACTGCAAGATAATTATGTGATTGAAGGCATTGGTGGGGCATGTCAGATCATTTACAGTAGTAATAACCAACTGTATTAAATTTGCTACACCTTACTAAAAATGGACGTTCATTTTCGGCAGCTCTTCAGAAGCAGGTTATCATAAACATTTTAAACAACTGATTCTTCCTTTCAAAACTAGATCCTAATTGAGGAAGTTACTATGTATTATTCAATAAAATTTACTTTTTTAATAAAACTTAATACAGCACCCTTATTTAGGATCATCTTACTTCATTCATTCTTAATTATAAAATTAAATTTCACAAAGGCGACACTCATAAGTTAAATCAAATATAAAAATTCTCATACGCCTTTGACATTTATTGAAGTCTGACTGCATATCATTGTCATATATCCCCAATGCTTTTCTGAAATGGTTTGTTGCAAACTCCAAATATTGTCTTATAAATTCTTCCTTTTCCCTACTATTGAAACTAAATCTCTAGTTTGCCTTTAATAAGTCAAAGCTTTTAAAATCTAAGCTTGCCATTCCCCATCTGTTTCAAATTTATTTCATGCTTCTGCTCATTCTTTTTAAACCTTGATAACTCACCTTTATTTCACTTTCATTGGATAGAATTTCCAAAGCTTCTAAATGAGAAAGACCCTGAAACTCGTCAAAAAGCATTCCATAGTGAGCAGCCTTCTCCACAGTGACCTGTCGTTTTTCTTTTTCTTTTGCTTCTCTCAACATCTATTTGGGAAGATGTAATGAAATGAAATTAGATCATGGCTAAAATGTTGAGTCCAGTATTCAGTGATTCTGCCCAGCTAGTCTGTGCTAGTGTCCGTACTCTACACGAGCCCCAGCAGTCTTCAATCCCTTCAGCTACACTATTCTGTTCTTCCTTGGATATTCTCTTTTAAATATTTTGATTTTTTTTTCCATCAACCACATCTCTAAGTCTCTGTCCAAGCCAAGACAAGGCTGACTATCCATTAACAGTGCCTTTTTGTACTGTGGACTCACCTGGCTTTTGCCAGGCACATTTCCTTGGAAGTAACACATTTTTAAAAAATATATAAAAATTCCCTATGATCAGCGCCTTGGGACGTCCTTCTGACGTGAAAGGCGCTCTATAAATGTAATTCTGTTGTTGTTGTTGATATCATACCAGTGCGACATGCTGCAGTGAAACAGTGAAGTAGGTAAAGGTTTCTAACCTATTGTAAAGTTACTAACCAACATTTCTAAATCATCTTGTAGCATTTTATCTCTAAACCTTTTTATTTTAAATCTGCTTTGTATATTCTGATAAAATTCAAATTTGTATGAATTTGAAAGCAAAACTTGCAACAGTTTGTTTCTTGAAGCGATGTGCCTTCAATGATAGTGGAGATTTTGTACAATGCCCATGCTCCTGAAATTGATTATAGTTTCACTGGAGAACAGTGATTGATTGATTGAATAATTATCAATTTTGATGGCTACCGACATCCATTGACTGCATCAACAGAATGAATACCAAAGAAGGCTAGATTAGATGAAGGATGGAAGCTAACTTTAAATCCACCACTTCAAAGTAACCACAAAGTGTAGATTTTGTCAAACTCCAAAATATCATGTTTACTGAAATGTCCCAAGCAAAAAAGAAAAACGGACATAAAATAAAATACTACAAAAGATTTTAACATTAGAAATGCATAATTTGTGTCTTCATTTTAGGTTGCATTGTATGCTTCTGCCTCTGATGGATGGCAGAAGTACTAGCTTACCCTCTCAGTTTCCTTTAGCAATTTGACACACACAAGCAATTTGACCATTCAGAGGTAATAGAGCAAGGATTCTTTTTAACACAGGTATCAGTGTCCTATTTTATTTATTTAAAAAAAGGATTTTTAAAAATATGACTTTGTCCCTATTATTAGAAAAATATTCTTGGAGTCTACACCTGGGACAACGTGGCAGTTTTATGCAGTAGTATCTTTGTCTTCTTGAATCCAGGGTCATTTTCCGCAAGGACATTCATTGTCTTCCTACCAATGAATTCTAAAGCATCCAAGCCACCGCTGAGAACAGATTTACCCTGCACGAAAAACATAGCGAATAACACACAACATCCCAAGTTCATGAAACACTGATAAATAAGTACCTGGTCTTGGTCTGCCCATCTCAAACAAATGTATTAGGCTAATGTCAATACACAAATCTATCCCAAAACAAAACCGATTTATAATGGAATGATTGGGTAGCCGAAGAGCTGAAGTATGCTCTACATAACCAGATTTCTAGTTCACATCCGGGGTATTTCATCGCTCATACTCAGTTGTGTTCATATCATGCTAAGTGAAAGCAAGTAATTTCCACTCAGTGGAGAGGTGACATAACTGTGCACTGAGAGGAATCGCACCATCTGCCAATTAGTCTTAGAATGGCATTGATGGCTGCCACAAACATGTCCACAACCCACACCATGCTGCCCTGTTTAACAGAGGATGATGTAGAGCACTGTAGCCCTGGTAAAGCGGGGGTGGGAGGAGAAGGAAACAAATAATGGAACGTACAGGAATTTTTATCAAAGGATCCAATTTTAAAAAGTCAAAACCTCCAATATCATTCAAATGTTTCAGTTGACGTACCGTGTTTTGAACAACATTAGATAAGGTTGACAGCATACCACGAGATGAAGCAGTGGGGGAGGCGGGTGGAACATCTCCAGGAAACGATTCCTCTGGATTATCTGTTTTTCCATTAAAGAATAATACTTCAGTTTCCTCGCTTGTCGAAGGACACAAAAGTAACATGCATGACAACTATTATAAACGTGTATAATCTTGTCATTATCTTCAAAATATTCATTCTATGTGTAAGATGTGATATAAGTGCAAGTTGTTGCTGAGGCACTTAGTAAATGAACAACCTGGGGAATCTTCACAATATTTTCTATTTGTATTTTGGAGAGATGAGAAAAAAAACACTGCAAACTACACACAACATCCTCTTTGTGCTTCTGAAAAAAGGCTAAATCTTGCCAGACTCCCAAAATCACAAAACCTGATCAGGATAAAAAAAAATTAAGATCCTGAAATTTACCAGTAAATTTCAGGATCTTAAATATCAAATGGCAAACGCCTAAAACACTGTAATGTTTCACGATTTAATGGGACTTTTTTCTAGTGGTGTGCTTCATTTGAAGATAACGACAAATCTGGATAAAATGGCATAAACGGAAATACCAACGGAACAGAACTGGAATTATAAGAACTGGAAAGGACAGTGTAACTGCACAGCAAGTTCAATATACTGACTGAGCCAAACTGGTTTTAGTGAAATTAGTAGTTTCCTTCAATATTATCATCTTTTAAGCTACCTGCTGCAAAAGGATTTTCTTCATACTTGGTTGATTTCTTCTCTTCAGATACTGGCGCACTACTGTGTACTTTGAGGGAGGCTTCTGCTTTTTCCATTACTGTGCTTAGTCCATGACCTGCAATTCAGAATGAATATTAAATCTTTCAAGAAATATACACTGCTTTCAGACACTTTCCACATAAAGGAATATATGTACAATTATATAAATGGTATTTAGTGTTCCTATATATAAAACCTAAAATTTTACAACCTTATCTATCCTAAAGGTTTCTTTTAAATATAATATATCCTATGAAAAATCTGCATCCCATTTGTAACATGCTTCCAAATGGTTGTGAGGTGTTTTTTGCAAAGTAGCATTTTTTTTAACGAGAATTGGTAAAATCATCAGAGTCTGAGGAGGAGGTACAAAATGCAAAGCTTGCACGAGTGGACTTTTTAAAACTCAATTGGACAGTACTTTGAGTGAAAGTATCTGATCTACTAAAGCACAAAATAAACCCTTAAGAGAAGGTAGATCGTTTTCTATTCAAGTGTAAATAATATGCTCTACAGTATTCTGCCTATAATTGTTTCTCACTGCAGTTCTTTTTAAAATAAAAGCTGCAGTTGTCTCAGTCTGAAAACCTGAACTGTCCTTGACTTCTCTGCTGGCTGAGCAAGAAGACATACAGATCTAATAATAAAATTACAACAAGCAAATGTCAACTTTCCCATCACAGAATTCTGCCAAGGCAGACAAGAGTAAAAACAGTTTGAATCAATCAGGATAAAAAAGGGAGCAAAAGAAATACAATAAACACTCACATAAGTCGTATCAGTCGTAACATTTAATACGACATACGTGATACTCACTTAAGTCATAACATTTAATATGACATACACGAAGTCCGAGATGCAGGCAGACTAATATAAGTCGTACAAAATCCGATTTTATCAATAATCTACACTGCACATGTGTAATTCAATGCAGCCAGTTAGGGCGCATGTGGTGACGGGTGGGACGTTATTGCCCGCGATTCAATGCAGCTGGTAATTGTGGAGTAATGGAGGACAGAGGGGCAGTGTTACGAGTTAGGAGATGATAATTCGACTAATGCAAAGAAATCTAAATGGTTTTGATAGGAAACTAAATGGGACTCAGGCGCATGTATGAGTTAACCAATTATACAATTTATAAAGATAAGACTTATGCGAGTTTTACTGCAGTCTGTTTGTAGGACCTGTCCATCAGGAAGTTAATGGAGAATTGTTTTACTCAAAGGCAGTACTATAATTCAGCTATAAGACTCACCAACAGTTGCTGTTGCTGAGGACAACAGTGACTTTCCCCAAGTTCCCCAGGATCCCCAAGCTCTAGTTTTATCAGAAGCCAAATGCTGTAAAATAGACGCTCAAATTTTAGGAAAAAAAGTTAACTTTTATACAATTAGTCCTTTGAAATCCTTGATTTAAAAATAAATCTACTTTCATAAAATATACTGTAATAGGCAATTTAAGTAACTAACACAATGTTCACATACTTAAACAGTAAGATTATCAACCTTGTAGAGTCTACCTAAACAAAGGAGGTTGCCACTGAGAATACAAATGTATAATGATCCCTTTTAGAGACTTGGTAGTGCAACAATGCAGCACCATACTACATCCCTAAACAAAACGCACAAAATCCAAGAAAGGATGGCCCTTGGTATTTGCTGTATTTGTTCTTTAAAGAACAAAGTAGATATTTTGATGTGGCAAATCTTTCTTTCTTACTCAGCATTCTCTACATGCTAGAGGAATTTGACCCAATATAGTCAACAATACGTTTTTCATCTTTGAATTCCCTGGAGTCAAAACAAACTTGTCAAACCACTCATCGTGCTTGGTTGTCAAGTAACTGTCAAAACTGTGAGATGTGTTCAAAGTGTGTTCACAGCTCTGCCTATGCCGTCTGCGGTGATTTTCTTTACATAATTTAGAATGCAACCAGAAACCCAATGGAAGAGCCTTTGATGTGATCTTCAACCATAATACTGCATCAAACATGTGTTTGCCTCCATTCACAATTAGCCTGCCTGTGAAATGTTGCTGGGATCAGAATTCAGCAGGAATCTTTCACCTTCTCTCTAAAAGCAAAGGAAGTCTATTAACTGTAGCCACAGTATAAGTGAATGGGCTCTATTAGGACTATAGGACAGAAGTTCCCTAGAGGCAGAAAGCTCTCTGGATATGTGAGCCCCTTAAGGCAGAACACAGAGGGCTTGTAGTTTCAATTCATTCTTCCCATGTAATTTTCACTCTTGGGGTGAGATGGCAATTAAATTCAACAACAACAACTTGTATTTATATAGCACCCTTCACACTGGACGGTGTCTCAGAGGGCTTCACAATGGCGGTGCCCGATGCTGAGCCAGGGGGAGGGGGAAGGTGACCATAGGCATGGTCAAAGAGGACGGTTTTCAAGCGCAACCTGAAAATGGGGAAAGAGGGGAGAAGGCAAAGGGATTGAGGGAGAGAGTTCCACAGTTTCGAGGTGTGGTGACTGAAAGCACAGCCGCCGATGGTGGGGGTTAGAGTCCAGGGGACAAGGAGGAGGACAGAGCCAGTCAAGCGGAGGCAGGGGGTAGTCGTGTCGGGAGAGAACAGGTTAGAGAGATAGGGGATTGCCAGGCATCTAGGGATTTAAACACAAGAGTGAGGATCTTGAAATCAATCCCCTCTGTGACAGGGAACCAATAGTGTTTGACAACGAGTTTGATAAATTCACGCTCATTTGCTCCACTCCCGATGCATTGAAGGGTACAGTGTGGGTTACACACATTGTGATGGTGGGCAGGCTGCTGTCCAGGGAGAAGATACGATTAGAAGAGTAGGCTACCAAGAAAAAAAAGGCTTCCAGTATATGCAACAATAAGCCACAGAGCAGAGGCTGTAGCAGCAATAAGAGCCATATCCAAGGAAGGGAGGAGAATGAACCAGATAAAGGCTAGAGAGGTTGTGAATAAGTAAAATGGAGATAGGACAAGATTGACTAGCAAAATAGGTGAAGGGTATTAGATTAGCTAAAGTAAAAACAAGGGCAAGAGTGATCTGGGGGAAAAACAAAAAACAAGCGAGTATAGGGTGTGCACAAGGGGGAGAAAAAGAGGGTTCAGCAAGTTGGATTGGGAAATGTAGAACAACAGTGACAAAAGGTTGCAGTGAAAGAGTGAATAAACAAATTGGTGAGTGCAATTGTGCAGCAAATCAATAAAGTTGAGCTGAATAATTGATAGACTACACAATGGAATGGAAGCAAACAACAAATGTTGTACCAGCCCTATACGAGCTGAACCGTAGTAGTATCACTGAATGAAGTGAGTGGATCTCATCGGAATAGAATTGGGCACCTTTATTAGAGGGTCTTCAGTTACTCAATTCTGCCACTCAATTCTGCCAACTACGATGAGCCAAATTCACTTCCTTCCCAAAGAAAGTACTTTCCTTTTCGGTTTTCTTATACCATCTTCTCATTCTAAACTGATGGGTTAGAAACCTGCTCCTAAGCCTCTAACAATGATCCTACATAGTTGGCCATAAGGAAGTGCAAGTGCGTGTCTCTGACCACCTCTATTAGCCTTCCTTCTTCCCCATCCATTATCTCCACTCCGTGACGTTCCACAGTAGCACAGTTCAGATCAGGAGAACAGTGCTGGAAATCGTCTGCATTAGTGTTTTGGAGGATTTGTGACAATATTCTTCAAGTAAGACAACAATAGTGGCTTTCGTTGAAAGAGTTTCCACAACAACAAAATTACATTTGTAAAGCGCCTTTCATGTCCCAAGGCGCTGGACAGACAGAGTTATGGACCCGAGCTGGGGGTCGGGGTGGGGAGGGTGGAGGGCAGTGGGGGAAGCAGGGAGATCGAAAGCAAGGTTGAAGAGGAGGGTCTTGAGATGGGTCTTGGAGGTGGCGAGGGAGGGGGTGAATTGGAGGGACTGCAGGATGGAGTTCCAGAGGGTGGGGCAGAGTGGCGGCGAGCGAGGCGGGGACATGAAGTAGGCCGGAGCCCGCTGAGCGTAGAGAGTGAATACTTTGAGATAATATATAATATATATTCAACCAAACTATGTACCTATTCTCTATGAGACTACAGACCTTGATTTTATTAGAACACAATTACATTTTGTAACCATAATAGCATATTCACATCATAAGAAACTAGCTAGAAGGAAGAATTTGCCTGAAACATAGAACATACATTAGATGATAACCTGGAAGTACACTGCTTGTTTTCATGCAAAATTGAGGTACAATTAATTACTCTTAACAATTGGAGTTTACAACTATCAATTCAAACTTCGGACCAACTCTAACAGGATCGCAGTTTATCATATAAGCAAACTTTTACTCACAAAATGCAATAAATTGATAGCAGTATATAAGTGATTGAAGCATAAAGTTCAAATCCCACAGGGATGTAGGAGGAAATAAAGTAGGATTAGATTAACATACCTCCTCCAAAAGAGGGATTTAATGCAATAAGAGTACATTTCTTAAGTGAAGTAACTTTGATTTGTAAGAAAAGAAAACATAAGAAAACTAAACAGACGCAATATGCAGCCCAATTTTTAACTCCAGCTTAAGCAAATGTAGAAATATTCCAGAATCAAAAAGATTTCACAAAACCATATGAGAAATGTTTTTTGTGTGAAGTTGTACGCTTCAATCTAAATTAACAGTAATTAACTCCTGGGTACAATCAAGATTAACAGTACAGAAGGCAAAAGTCATTTTGCCAGTAACTATTTCCCTTTGCTACCCAAACTAACAAATAAATTATTGCTAGATCAGTGTGGGGGGAAAGGAGCAAACAGTATAAATGTGGATGCAAAGCATGTATTAAGTGGTTATGAAATATATTTTAATTCTACTGTTAGTAATACTTAAATACATTAAAAAATATTTTTTAAAATATAATTTGTAGAAGTTAATACTAGAAAACTGCTAAAAAAAATCACTTAGTATAGCCACAGTATACATAAATATGCAGTTGGCAATTTTTTTTTCAATTCTCTCTGTCAAATAACTGTGTACTCAAAGAAATGGAGCAAGAACCAGTTACAGTACAATCCACTGCAAATGTGCGGTAACCCATACAGATTGTAGCAATAGAACTGACTTTATTCCAATTATCTCTTAATTGATATTTAAGATTTTCACATTAAAACTACATCACAAACCTCATCAACGTTCTCCTCAGCTGATGTCTGTCCATCCAATCCTGGATCTCTCTCTGGTTCTGATTCGAGATGTAATGTCTCATCAGATATGTTTTCCGTTGAGTCTTGTGTGGGCAGAAGAACTTTTATTGCAGCCTCATCTCGTTCATTCAGAGCTCCAGCCTGGTGTATATTGTCCTGATGGATTCTATTCAAATTATCAGATGGTACTTGATTGGGACTGTACTCTGAAGGCTCACTTGTTTGAGAAGAGTTTTCACGTGGCAGAGCTTTGGCCCCAACTTCAGACGCACCTTCTACAGTTAAACTCTCGAGTCCAACTGAAACTCCACTTGTGTCATCCTCTGCCCCAGACATTGCCAATCATACCTATCAAACAAATGTTTAGTCACAGAATGCTTCATAACTTATACCCATTATTTTTAATCAAAACGCATCTTTATTTTATCTTGCTTTTGGTCTGAACAATTAGAGGAAAACCAGAGGAGGCCATTCAGCTCTTCAAGTCTGTTCAAGTCGTGGCATTTGACATTTCTTAAATATAAATGTACATTTAAAAAATAGAGTGCATCAAAGTCCTCCATTTATCATGCTCACATATGCAAACTAGCTTTTGATTAACCATTTGGCAAAGGAAATCACAATAATGTACAATAATTTGTAGTTGGTACAGCACCGCGTCATGTCAAAACATTGCCAAGTGCTAACCGCAGTAGTGGTTAAAAAAAGGCTGAATGTTATAACCCCTACGTGGCAACTGATAAAAACTCCAGAGATATAAACATCATCTCCGCGAATCTCGTGTATGCTATTTGGTTGGCTCTGGCAAGATCTCAGGTCTGAGTTCTTGCAACCCTGCTTGATGTACAGGATATTCTCTGGAGAAAGAACATTTATGTCACGGATACTTCTGCCTTTGCAGTGGTGGAGCAATTTTTGGATGCCATTGTGATGCTTTAAAAATGACCTTTTCACCAATCAATTTTTTCCCTCCCCGTCTGGTCTGTCCTTGAAGGTGTATTGAATTATTTTCTCAAACTGTGGTACATTTAGATGACACAAGCTGCCTGCCCGCTGGTACTTTGCCCAAAAAAGGGAACGGAGGGGTTAGAGGATTGGAATTACGAGAGCAAAGCGAATTGAGCAGTACAGAGAGGGAGGGAGGCTCGTGTGGAGTACAAACACAGGCACAAGTTGGTTGGAAATGTATGGGCTGTTTTTGTGTATTTCTACCTCTGTTCAGTTCTCAGGCAACTGACCAGTATCAGTCCATTTAAACATTAGCACTCATTTCCAGATCTGTCCCCATCAATCGGTTCCCACCTCACTATCCACTGGTTTAACGGTTCTGTGCATTTGATGCGTGCACAGGATTTGATTTGATAGTATCTTCTCGGCCGTGTGCCAATTCTTCAGTTGCCGCTGAATGATCCCAACACTCAATACAGCCAAACCCCTCCACGCAGGATAGCGGCCGAGAGCACTGATCATTCTCCGTGGTATCTTGAACGACAGTACTCGCCCAGAAAATATACGGCCAATTCACTTTACAGTCTATTCCGTGAAGCGCTTTGAGACGTCGAGAGGACGTGAAAAAGCGCAATATCAAAGGCGAGGATTATTATTATCATTAATTATTATTATTATTTCAAAAGCCTCAAAGATCAAGCGATAAAGTAATAATAAGGGGTGAATCAATCCCCGCGGAAGTCCCTTGAGACGCCCTCTCTTGAAAGAAAGGCCGATATAAAGCCGCTATATAAACGGAGGCTGAGGCTCGGAATAGATTTCACCCGCAAAACACACGGAGGTCACTGCACTTTACAACGTAACTAACCCGCGAAGCGCTTTTGAGACGTCTGGACCCGGTGATGAGGCTCTGTACCGAATACAAGGATTATTATTCTTATTATTATTATTATTGTTGTCGCCATTGTTGTTGTCCTTATCACCATCATCGGGGTCCAGACACTCGCTCGGGGCAGCGACCTCGGCTGTGAACTCGTAATAATAATATAACGGCAGTCGTGAAACTTTTGACGGGAAGGACGAAACAAGAGAGCAATTGGTGAGGGGTTATATTTTTTGGGGGGGAAGGGGGGTGGGGGGTGAGAGCCACAAAACAGCCGCAAAAACCTTCGAATAAATCACGCGAAGTCGGCGAGAAGCTGGTGCCGGAGCAGGGCAGGGGGGGCAGGACAGGGCAGGGGGGCAGGGCAGGGCAGGGGGGCAGGACAGGGCAGGCAGGACAGGGCAGGGGGGCAGGACAGGGCAGGGCAGGGGGGCAGGACAGGGCAGGCAGGACAGGGCAGGGGGGGCAGGACAGGGCAGGACAGGGCAGGGGGGGCAGGGCAGGGGGTGGCAGGACAGGGCAGGGCAGGGCAGGCAGGACAGGGCGGGGGGGCAGGACAGGGCAGGGGGGCAGGACAGGGCAGGGGGGGCAGGACAGGGCAGGGGGGGCAGGACAGGGCAGGGCAGGGGGGCAGGAAAGGACAGGGGGGGCAGGACAGGGGGGCAGGACAGGGCAGGACAGGGCAGGGGGGCAGGACAGGGCAGGCAGGACAGGGCAGGGGGGGCAGGACAGGGCAGGACGGGCAGGACAGGGCAGGGGGGGCAGGACAGGGCAGGGGGGGGGGCGGGGGGCAGGACAGGGCAGGGGGGGCAGGACAGGGCAGGGGGGGCAGGACAGGGCAGGGGGGGCAGGACAGGGCAGGGGGGCAGGACAGGGCAGGGGGGGCAGGACAGGGCAGGGGGGGCAGGACAGGGCAGGGGGGCAGGACAGGGCAGGCAGGACAGGGCAGGGGGGCAGGACAGGGCAGGGGGGCAGGACAGGGCAGGGGGGGCAGGACAGGGCAGGGCAGGACAGGGCAGGGGGGCAGGACAGGGCAGGGGGGGCAGGACAGGGGGGCAGGACAGGGGGGGCAGGACAGGACAGGGCAGGGGGGACAGGACAGGGCAGGGGAGGCAGGGCGGGGGGGCAGGGCAGGGCTGGGGGGGGCAGGACAGGGCGGGGCAGGGGAGGCAGGGCAGGGCTGGGGGGGGGGCAGGGCAGGGCAGGGGCAGGGCTGGGGGGCGGGCTGTGGCCGGGGGGGGGGGGGGGGGGGGGGCTGTGGCTGTGGCCGCGGGGGGGGGGGGGGGGGCTGTGGCTGTGGCCGCGGGGGGGGGGGGGGGGCTGTGAGCTCGAGCCCAGGCCAAGGCCGTTAGGTTTTAAACCCGACTCTCGAGACTCACCTGTCAGCCCCACTGTGCTGTGCTGTGCTGTCCTCGCGCTCCCCCCCAGGCCCCGCCCCCCGCACTTCCACTCCGCCACGTCGACAGACCAGACCCATCCCCCCCACCCACCCCACGCGCGCGCGCGCGCGCACAGGGACAAGCGCTGCCCCACCGGAAATAGGCGGACTCCTCCCCCTCCTCCCTCCGCCTCCTCCGCGACGTCCACCAATCAGCGCCGCGCCCCGCGGACGGGGCGGGAGATTTGAACAGAGGGCGCGATGTCTCAACTTCATCTCTTTCACCTCCAACAGCAACAACAACACAAAGTTGCTGTTGGCCGCGCGTTCGCCCACAAATATACAGTCACTTCACAGTGTGTTCTGCGAAGCGCTTTGGGACGTCCTCCCGACGTGAAAAGCGCTCTTTCAAATGCAAGGGTTATAAAGTGACATTTTTACAGAGCGCCTTTCAGGTCGGGAGGACGTCCCAAAGCGCTGGACGGTCAGGGGTCAGGACTCGAGCGTGGGGGAGGGTTGGGGGAAGGCGGAGAGGTGGGAGGGAGACCAAAGGAGGCGAGGGAGGAAGCGAGGCGAAGGGACCGTGGGATGGAGTTCCAGAGTGTGGGGGCAGAGAGGTTGAAAGCCCGGCCACCGATGATCGGGCGGGAGACATGGAGCAGACTGGAGGCCGCTGAATGGAGCCAGTGGAGTCGGGCGAGGGTGGGAGTGATGGGGGCCGTGGAGCCTGGTGCGCAAGAGTACACGAGCTGCAGAGTTGTGGATGATCTGCAGCTTGTGAAGGGACGAGTTGGGAAGGCCGATGAAGAGGGAGTTCCTGTAGTTGAGCCTTGATGTGACCTAATGTGGTTGATGTACCCAGGGCCAAGTTAAGGGATCCGGGGTCCCTAAACTCAATCTCTTTTGAGGGTTGTTTGTACTGTGCATTGTAAAATATGGGTGAGTTGGTTTATTAGTCAATCAGCCCTGGATATATACAAATTATGAGAACCGTGTCGAAGAAATCTTGTGCGGTAAGGAAGCAAGGTATTCCCAGGACTAAACTGTCTCTCAGATGGGGCAGAGTTGGATGTGTAGATATGTGATTAACTGCTTGGTCAAAAGCCCTAATAGGTCTGGCAATCTGAGGTGGACAAATACTTTGCTGTTTTATACCCGTTTCCCTTTTCCGGGCTTGAAGAGAGGAAGTATGATAGAGTCGATGTCAATTCTATGTTCAAGCTGCAGATGACAAAAAGGGGAAGTAAGTATTTATAGTTCTTTTACAGTCGCCATTGTTTGCACCTCTTCCTTTAGTGTGTGAAGCAAAATGGAAAGTGTTCGTGAATGAGTTTGTAATCTATAAGATATCTGTAAACTATCTGAGCAAATTTGGTGTACCTCATGCTATTTCTTTGGAAGGATATACTGGTAAATTCTGAATTCCTGCCAAGCTGTTCCTGAATATACAACTTTTCTGGTAAAGTATTGCATCATTATTTCTAATAAAACTTATTCCCGTTTAAACAAAATGTAATGGTTTTAGAATGGTGAAGCAAATCCCTTAAAACATTTTTTTCAGTATTTAGTGTCAGTTCAAAGACTTGATCGATTTTCTTTTCCGTTTGTCTCAGTTGGTGGCACTTTCACTTATGAGTTAGAAGGCTATTAAAAGGCTGTAGCACTCTGAGAAGCTACCCTGTGTGAAGGCCGCTGTATAAATGCAAGTTGTTGTATTATTGTTTTTGTAGGTTTAAGCCCCAAGACATTCAGCTCATAATCTCCTTGCCTGACATTCCGATGCAGTGCTGTGGAACCGCTGCATTGTCTGAGGTGCTGTCCTTCAGATCTTTTACGGGCCAGCCGGGTGTCTGACACTTGCAGAAACCCGTCACCGTGCTTAAGAGTATCGAAACCAAACTGAGATTTCCATGCATCCCACCTACACATGGAAATCCCAGAGATAGGTTGTTGGAATGGAATGCGCACTCTCTCCCTGGAGGGACACATCCTGCTTACCTAATTCTGGAAAGTATTAGGCGCAGGTTGGCAAGAGAGTGGGAGGGAGAGAGTCGGAGGAACTCCCGGTTGGAGTTCCAGAGAGCAGGGGTAGAAAACCAAAAGCCCGCTCCGATGATGTAGCGGAGGATAGGGTTGAGGGGATATGAAACAGGCTAGTGCTAGCAGAGGAAGTGGCTGGGTCTGGTAGGGTTGAAGGAGGTTGCAGAGGTAAGGTTGAGTGAGAAGGGTTTTAAAGGTGAGGGTGAGGATCTTGAACTCGATGGGTTGGGGGATCAGGAGCCAATGGAGCCGAGTGAGGACAGGGTGATAGGATCATGGAGCCTAGTCCGGAGAGCTGTGCGTGAAAAAAATCTGATTATGTTTATATTTACAGCTGCTAGATAATCACTATTACATTGAAAAAATATACAGTATAATCATGCGTTTATTGAAAAAGTTGTATTAAAAATGTTTGGTCTGATATTAAAGAACCAATCAGATCTGATTTAAAAACATGTAAATACTCTACACTTCAATATACAATACCTCAGAAATGTTTTGTTTCCAATACTGAATGAACATTATAAATTCTAATATGAAGTTACTGTCTCTTTATATCAAAGGGGGTGGAGGATGGCAATAACCTACAATAGGAAATGCCAGCAAGTCAGGAGAAGTGGAGCAGATCCAAGGCTGGTAATGAAAGGGTCCCTTTCACAGCCTAGCTACTCTTATCAACAAGCTTGTGGCATTTTGTGAGCATGCAAGGGGATGGAGCTACTCAATGCTGGAGTACAGTGTAATTGCTGCCCCAAGGAACATACATTAAATTAGAATCTGGGCAATTCTAAAAGGCTATGATGACTTTATATTGCTTATTGCATCACCAGATTACCAATAGCTCCGCACAGTAGCCCTGAATAGTGCACAGTGATTTATTAATAATAATAATCCTTCAATTTTATATATCACCTTTCAAGTTGGGAGAACATCTCAAAGGATTTCACAGGATTCATTGTAAGGTGTGGGGACTATGCATTTTATAGGTGAACGCAACAGTCAATTTGCGCCGAGCAATGTCCGATAAACAGCTTAAAACCTGAATGAGCTTTTTTTTTATTTGGGAGAGTGTTGGCCAGGACACCAGGAGAAACTCCCTTGTCTTTTCAAATAGTGGCATAGGACCTCCTGAACAGGAAAATGTTGGGACAGTAAGTGTTGATTAATAAGTGAACTATTGTAGGATTTGTAGTGACTTTTTAAAAAATATTCACTTTCAGCAATTTCAACATTTAATCAACTTGTCATTTAAGTTTTGAATAATAAATTTAGACAATCAATGTCTACTTTTACACTACATCTTTCATTCTATTGTTGTCATTGTGAGTTTTCACAAACGTTATTTCATGAAATATATTAAATAATTAGGATAATCTGTATATTGTTCTAAAGATACAATAATAATGATTTATATTTTTCTTTTGTTTCAGTTTTTTCAATTATTTGAACAAAATAGCCTGAGGAAACAAGTGAAATATACGTCAGCTGGAGAAGGGCAGGAGACAATAACTACAAGAAAACAAACTGCCATGGCTAATATTCTCTTCTTTGTCATCTGGATTGTAACTTGTAAAACCTGCTGCAGTTTGTGTTTTACTGCTGAAAAAGGTACTATTATAAACAATTCCTTCAGGTCTTTGACCACTGTCCCAGAACGTTTAGCAAGTCATGTAAAGCTGCTGGATTTATCACAAAACAAGATCACTGAGATTCAGATCACAGACTTTGCCTCTCTTCCCTTGCTAAAGAGTTTGAATTTGTCGTCCAATCTGATCAAGGATTTGATGGAGGATGTTTTCAGCATCAATAAAGAATTGGAGTGTTTAGATCTTTCCAGGAATGAACTCTCCAACACCTCAGGTTACTTTTTACAAGGACTTGGGTCGCTCAAATATTTAGATATTTCTTCTAATAGTTTTCTTACCTTGACACTTGGGAAAGCATTTGGCTCTCTGAACTCTCTGAAATATTTACTTTTGGGCAGTAATAAAGAAATCAAGTTGTGGAAAACTGATCTGAAAGAAATCTCCAACAAACAGTTGTACAATGTTTCCATAGGATTGGAAAGGTTGTCAAAGTATGAACGTGGTACCTTACAACTTTTGAAAACAACAAAACTTGACATTAGTTTACCGACAACCAATGATACAAATTTGCTGAAAAGTATGCTGACCGATGCATTCAGTTTCCCTGAGACTTTAAAGCTATCAAACATTGCATGTGAAAAAGATTGCAGCCATTATTTAAATGCTTTTACTGAGGCTATTATTACTTCAAAAGTGAGTAAATTGGTCTTTCAAGAAATGAAACTAAATTGGAAAAGTTTAATAGAAATAGTAAATATCATTTGGTGTTCTACAATGAAAGATATCAGTATATTTTATTTGACTATATTGGAAGTTAATCCGATCAAGGTGAACACTTATTGTGAATCATTTTTACAAGCATTTTCTCTAAAACATGTAATAATCATGGACCATTATTTCGATCAAAATGATCTGTATGATGTTTTTGCTAGCCTAACTGTTGAAAACATAACAATTTCTCAAGCAAACCTCATATTCATGACTTGCCCAAATAGCGGAAACAAATATAAATTTATGGACCTTTCTGGAAACGTATTTTCTCGAGATTTCTTTTTCCAAGACTGTCAAGACTGGAATTTCCTGGAAACTCTTATTTTAAGTGAATGTAAATTGGATAGCTTCCTGAAAATTAGTAGCATGACTGTTACTATGACAATACTTAAGTACCTGGATGTTAGTCAAAACCAACTTACATTGGGTGAGAATCCAAACTGCCAATGGACCGAGAGTTTGGTAAAACTTAACCTATCCTTAAACAAACTTACAAATTCAGTCTTCAGCTGCTTACCCAGTAGTATAGAAATCCTCGATATGAATAATAACCGGATATCTAGTGTTCCCAACAATCTGAATAAACTTGAAGCTTTGAAGGAATTGTACCTTGGAGGCAACAAATTGGTAACTCTGCCTGAGTGTAGCAGCTTTGTAAATCTGGAGATTCTGTTTGTTGATGTAAATTTACTTCATGAAGTTTCCAGCAGTTTGGTTAAAAGCTGTTCAAAGCTGAACGTGCTAAATGTTGCCCACAATCCATTTACATGCACTTGTGGTCTGCGAGAGTTCAGCAGGATTCAGCAGGAGCTCACCACTCTCCAGTTGATCGGGTGGCCAGAGTCCTATCAATGTGCCTCCCCAGTAAATCTTAAAGGAACTTTATTAAAGAATTTCCATTTATCTGAGGTAAACTGTAATACAGCTCTGTTATTGGTAATTGTGCTGTGCAGCGTAACTGTGCTAACAGTTGTAACTGGAGTGATGTGTCACTTCCTGGACCTCCCTTGGTATTTGAGGATGGTCTGGCAATGGACACAGACCAAACAGAGAGCCATGAAGAAGGATGGCCGTCAGCCAACTGAAGGATTGGTCTTTCATGCATTTGTTTCCTACAGTCAACATGATTCCTGCTGGGTGAAGGAGGAGTTGATTCCCAACCTGGAAGAAGGAGGATGTCCATTGCGCATCTGTCTTCATGAAAGGCATTTCATTCCAGGCAGGAGTATTATTGAAAACATAATCAGATGCATAGAGAAGAGTTACAAATCTATATTTGTTGTATCCCCCCATTTCATTCAGAGTGAGTGGTGTCATTATGAGCTGTACTTTGCACAGCATCAAGTATTAAGTGAAAAGTCTGACAAGTTGATATTAATTCTGTTGGAACCAATCCCTCAGTATCTAATTCCATCAAAATATCATAAACTGAAATCACTTATGGGAAGAAAAACATACATTGAATGGCCAAAAGACAGAAACAAACATGGACTATTCTGGGCTAATCTACGAGCAACATTAAAAATAAACTTGGAATTATCATCTGAGGAAACAACAATGGTATAACAAGCAGAGATTGTCCCAGAAATGTCAAATATACACTCTTTGGATTTATCCATTTTTTTAACACTTATTTACTAAATTGTGTTTAAAATTGTAATAAGCATTTGATAAGGTGGGTGTCACTAAGATGTTCCACTTATTGATCAGTCTTAAATGCGGGACATAAATAAGAAATAGCCTGTAGCAGATTTAAAAGGAGTATTAGAGGGAACTTCTTTACGCAGAAGGTGGTGAAAATGTGGAATTCACTGTTTGAAGCTGTGATTGAAGCAAGAGGCATCAATGTATTTGAGAAGAAACTTGATGCATGTATGCGGGAGAAGTCAATCGAGGGTTATGCGAAAAGGGATTAGGAGGAGTAAAGGCTCATGTGGAGTATAAATACTGGCATGGATTAGTTGGTCAAATAAATGTGTGCTGTAACATTCTATGTAATTTCAAGTAACATCATTCTGTACAAAAACTTTTAATTTCTTTACTGTTTGCATCTTTTTGATATGTGCAGGTTTGAAACTGTAAGGGTATAGAGGAGTACAGGGAACAAAATTAGGGGCAGAGGCTGGTGTGGAGTATAAACACCAGCATGAACATTACCTTTGTTAGCACTGCATTGCTCGAGATATCGTCCTTTGGATGAGATGCAAAACTGCGGTCTCCTCTGTCTGTTAGGCCGAATGGCTTATTTCTGTGCTGTGACAATCAATGTATATCAATTAAATTATTCATTCACTTACTGGCTATTTGTGGAATATTGATTGCTATGTGCAAATTGGTTGATGCGGTTGCTTAAAAATGTATGGTCCACTACACTTTACAGTAAGTTTTAGCTCAGTTAGTGACTTTCTTGCCTCCGAGTCAGAAAGTTGTGGGTTCAAACTCCACATTGGTTCTTTGAACTCATAGTCCTAAGCTGACGTTCCGCTACAGTGCTGGGGGATCCCTGCATCGTTGAACGTATCGTCCTTTGGATGACATGCAAAACTGAGGTCCCCTCTGTTCAGAGGTGGATGTTAAAAATCCATTACACTGTCCAAAAAGAGAAGCCAGTTTCTCTTGGTGTTCCAACAATCTGGGCTAAAATCCTCCAGATAAAATTGGTCATTTACTTCATGGCTGTGTGCGGACGTTGTTTGAAAATTGTCTGCTGGATTTGCTTACAAATCCTTGGGATGTTCTCCCGACATGAAAGTAAATGTACAATCACTACGCTTTGCAATCTGTGAAGCGCTTTGAGAGATCTGGACAACGTGATAAGACGCTGTATCAAATGTAAGGAATATTATTATAGCTTTGGAGAACAGAAAGCAACCATGCAGTTCAATAAATCTGTCTTTTTTAGGTGTTAACCTCAACTTTCCTGAAATTTGCAGCTTTCTACAGAAACTGTTGTCTCTTGAATCATGCATAAAATTCATGTCTCAATGGCCTTCTGATACAAGTTTAAGTTCTTGGTTTTATGGACAAGCAATTTGCCAGTTTGGGTTCTGTTTTTCTTTGATGACATTATACGTTGAGTGTGCATCATTTTCATTTGATGTCCTAAACCAGTGCTTGGTGTGAAATGGACCATTCCAAAAGCAGTCCATGGACACAGCGTGCTTTTTTTTTGCAGACAAAATTTTTTTCATCATTCATAAAAGCACACCTATTTCTCAGGAGCTTGGGATTTCACTTTCTTGAAGAAACTTAAAGTTTAAGCTTTGATCTAACTTTACGATCTGAGATAGGTTGGGATATTTTGAAACAAGAGAGATACTCTATTATAATGTTTTTTAAAAAAATCTGGACCCTGAGATCAAGTTTTAGACTTTTGTACGATTATTCAAAGAGTCTTCATACTGTTAATAGTCAATCCATTTGTGTTTCATGTTGTATAACACGAGCTGTCTGTTACTTATTCTCCCCTGCTCTCTGGAACTGCATCACACAGTCTCTCCAACTCACTCCCACCCTCCCCTCATTCAGGGCATATCTCAAATTGTACCTCTGCGACTGCACTTTTGGCCATTTTTCACCTCTTCACCACCCTAGGCTCCCACATCCCAACACAGGTGCTCATCCAGCATTGTCAAGCGCTTTGAGACATCCTGCAATCATGAGATTTTTATTTCAATTAATCAACTATATGTTTACTATATAAATGGAAATGGTATTGTATTGTGTATTTAAATCGAACTTCCAGAGAACTGGTGGGTGGTAAAACTAGATAAAAATGAAGACTACATTGAAGAAGTTTTCAAAATTCTGCACCATCTTAAATTCAAGGCTAAGACCATGAGAAATTTTAAGGCTTCATATATCTGATCGGAAATACAACGCCATTGTCAAAAATACTTTTTTCAGTATTCATAGATGCACTGTACAGTATTTTAAACACTTCAATCCATTATACTTGTTACAAGCCACTAGAGGGTGATCTAACTACACTAGACCAATGTAACCAAGGTAAAATTGTCACATCACCTTTCAGTAGAGTCACTGGACAATGTTGGGTGTGGGAGCCCGTAATCTTTTTTCCTGCCTAGTTCACGGTGCTGAAGACAATTATATTTCCTTAATATGACATTGACTGAGATCAACTAACACAGCTCAGAAAGTGAACCTCAGTCCTAACCTCAGTGGTTAGAGCACTCGGCTTGCAAGCGAGACACCTGGGTTCAATTCCAGGCAGAGCGAAACCTTGGGCAAGTTTCCTTACTCCACACGCCTAATAATAATCCCCCCAAAAAAACCAATAATAAATTGGTCATTTCAATCCACGACTGTTTGTGGGACACTGCTGTGCACAATTGGCTGCCACGTTTCGCCCACAAATATATGGTCAATTCACTTTACAGCATATTCTGTGAAGTGCTTTGAGATGTCTAGAAGATGTGAAAAGCGCTATATCAAATGCAAGGATTATTATTATTATAGTTTCACTTTAAACAAGGGCTTTGCCAACTGGCCCATCATGCTTTCAGTCCAATTCACACCTAGGTGCTCAAGCAGCTCTTAACCCGAATAGAATGAACTACATTTGATGGGAATTCATTATGTTTACACTATATTCTTTCATAACTCTCCACCACAATCAATTTTCTCTGCCCCTCTCCCCACACCACCAATTCCCAAATATATTTTGACTTCCTTTTCCTCTTACTGTGGACGGGTTCTATGATTGAAAAACACTCCCTCAAATAGACTGTTCCCTGTCTTCCCAACATGAAAGGCTCCATGTAAATGTATATTTATATTGTATTGTATTCTTCACATGTTAGTCTTGAAAATCGGTGTTGGGAAGCCACTGGGGGAACCACAACTGAGCTCCAACCTGTCCTCTCCCTGACACCACATACTTTCTGGGAGGAATCTCTGGATAGGAAACATGAGTAGGAAAATGACACCTTCCCAAACCGAAGCGCTGAGCCCAATAGAAGCCCCCATGATGGTGGCGTGCTTGAGATCAGCTAACACAAAAACAGTCCAGAGGTTCAAACCTATAACCTTTCAGGATAAATGGCCAAATCCTGTTCTGGGTACCGGATATTTCCCCACAAGCCCAGCTGGTTAGTTTTGACTCCACTGGGTCCCCTCTTGAGGCTGTTTTTTTAAACTTTTATCTTTGAGTTCTACGATCACAGATTACATTTCCATCGTCTCACTTTTATTTAGCATTTTAAGGCCTATGATCATGTCTCTCCTAATCAATTTCTTCCTTTTAAAGCAAGCTCACTTCTGTGAGTTTCTCTTCACAGGTTAGATCTTAATTACTCAAATTATACTGTAAACCTTAGTTAAAGCATTTGTGCTTTTTCTAAGGTAGGGTGCCCAAACGTTCTCAGCAAATTGCAAATATAGTCTTACAAATGAGTTATGGGTGTACTTAATGTATTTTGATTTGTTATCAAATGTTCCTGAGAATCATTAAGCTTGTTGGTGCAAGTCTTGACTGGAGATTTTCAGGCTATTTGCTAGACACACCCAGCTTCTTTTAACTTTCCACCTGTCCACAGGGAATACATTTCATATTCCTTATTCAGGTCCTACCTTTCACACCGCCTCCACTTTCATCACAGCAAACTGCTTCTACTCCGGCCCCTGTAAGGTTTAGTGCGGCGTTCCTCAGGGCTCTGTCCTCAGTCCCCTCCTCTTCACCCTCTACATGATGATGTTGGTGACATCATCCGCAGACATGGGGTAAATTTCCACATGTATGTGGATGACACCCAACTCTATTTCTCTGCCTCCACCCTCAACTCCAGGACTACTGGCGTCCTGACCAACTGTCTGTCCGACGTCAAGCCCTGGACGAGGGACAACTTTCTCCAACTCAACGTCAGCAATACCGAGGCCCTTCTGATTGGCTCAAGCCAGCGCCTCTGCAGCTCGGGCGCTGGCAGCATCAGCCTCCACGCTCAACCTCACTAAGTCAGTCAGGAACCTGGGTGTCTTGTTTGACCCTGAACTGACCTTTCTCCCCCACATCTGCGCCATGACCAGCACTGCCTACCACCACCTCCGCAACATTGCCAGACTCCACCACTGCCTCACCCCTCAGGCTGCCGAAATCCTCACTCACGCATTCGCTGCATCAAGGCTCAATTATGGAAACTCCCTCCTCATCGGCCTTCCCAACTCTTCCTTTCACAAGCTGCAGATCATCCATAACTCTGCAGCTCGTGTACACTCACGCACCAGGCTCCGTGACCCCATCACTCCCACCCTCGCCCGACTCTACTGGCTCCCCATCCCTCAGAGGAGCAAGTTCAAGATCCTCGTCCTCACTTTCAAGGCCATCCATGGCCTTGCACCCTCCTACTCTCTGACCTGCTGACTCCCTACCAATCTGCCCGCTCCCTCCGTTCAGTGAGCTCCGGCTCACTCCATGTCTCCCGTACGACCCGCCCTACCATCGGTGGCCGGGTTTTCAGCCTCTCTGCCCCCACACTCTGGAACTCCATCCCTCAGTCCCTTTGCCTCGCTTCCTCCCTTGCCTCCTTCAAGGCTGGTCTCAAAACCATTCTATTCGATCATGCCTTTCGTCGCCCTCCCACCTCTCTGCCTTCCCTCACCCCTACACCCCTCCTCCCCCATGCTCGGGCCCTGACGTCTGACTATTCAAAGCTTTGGGACGTCCTCCCGACGTGAAAGGCGCTCTATAAATGTAATTTTGTAATTTTGTTGTTGTTCAATTTGTTTTATGGTTTATAGCCGACAAAAATGCACAGTCACTACACTGCACAGTGAATCCCATGAAGCATTTTGAGACATCTCAAAGAGGTGATAAGGTGCTGTATGAAATGCAAGGATTTATTTTCATATATTATTAACCACAATAATTGGGATCGGGCCCATTGTGGATAAACATTGCGCAGATAAACTCTGTGTGACTGCCTGCCTAAATGGTAACACTTGCCTCCGAGTCAGAAAGTTGTGGGTTGTCAGGACTTGAACCTCCGTAGTCTAAGCCAAGTTGATGCAACCTTTTGGGTGTCGAGGGCCAGCTGCCACATTTGAGAAATGTCCACGGGCTGCATAAGCAATATTTTTGTACTTCAGATGACACATTAAACCGAAGTCTCATCTGGCTGTTTAGGTGGACATTAAACATCTCATACCATTATTCGAAAGTGCAGTCTCCGATGGTGGAACAGAGGGCACGAGAGACATGCAGGAGGCCGGAGCCAGTCGAGCAGAGGTAGCGGGTAA